GAGCCCAGGCTGGATTCGAACCCGCCACCTTAGGTGTATGTGGCTGGCGCCTTAGCCACTTGAGCCACAGGCGCCGAGCCAAATATTGTTTTCTTTTAATGTGAAATACATCTTAAGAAAACGCAAGATTTAGGCAGCACCTGTGGCTCAGTGAGTAGTATGCTGGCCATATATACAGAAGGTGGCGGGTGTGAACCCAGCCCAGGCAAAACTGCAATAAAACATAGCCAGGTGTGGCAGGCACCTGTAATTTGAGCTACCGGGGAGGCTGAGACAAGAGAATGGCCTAAGCCCAAGAGCTAGAGGTTGCTGTGAGCTGTGACGCTATGGTACTCTACCGAGGGTGACAAAGTAAAACTGTCTCAAAAAAAAAGAAAGAAAAAACGCAGCTAAGATAGTGGTAATAATTTTCATTAAGATCTTTCTTTTTGAGACAAAGCCTCAAGCGATTCTCCTGCCTCTGCCTCCCGAGTAGATGGGACTACAGGCCCCTGCCATAATGCCAGGCAATTTTTTGGTTGCAGCCATCATTGTTATTTGGTGGGCCCGGGCTGGATTCGAACCCGCCAGCTCATATGTATGTGGCTGGCGTCTTAGCCGCTTGAGCCATAGGCGCCGGAGTCATAATTTTTATCAAGATCTTTACAAGTAATTAGTTAATACTCCTCAAAGGACTCTTCTATATATCTTATGATGTAAGACAGGTGCAGTGGCTCATGCCTGTAAGCCAAACATTTTAACATTTTGGGAGACTGAAGTGGGAAGATTGCTTGAGGTCAGGAGTTTGAGCCAATATAGTGAGACTTTTGTCTCTGAAAAATCTAAAAAATATATGTAGGTATTATTTATGCAGTTGTACAAAAAATGCTATGCTATTTGTCGGATTAATATTTACTCATTTTCTAATTATTTGATGAGTCAGTAAGACTAAGCCTCAAAAAAATAGTACAGTAATGAAATGTGTAACCAAAAGAACCAAGTTAATTAAGCACCTTAAGGCTCAGCACCTGTAGCTGTAGTAGCACAGTGGTTACAGTGCCAGCCACACACACTGAGGGTGGCAGGTCCAAACCTGCCCAGGCCAGCTAAATAACAATGATGACAATTGACAACAAAAGTAGCCAGGTGTTGTGGCAGGCGCCTGTCGTCCCAGCTACTTGGGAGGCTGAGGCAAGAGAATCACTTTAGCCCAAGAGTTTGAGGTTGCTGTGATGCCACAGCACTCTACCCAGGGTGACAAAGTTGAGACTCTGTCTCAAAAAAAAAAAAAAAACATACTTGGGTGCAATGGCTACAACCTGAGTCAGATAAAACAAGGCACGTATCTTCTGTGAGTTGTTCCTCATCATTATTGTTGACCCAAATTCATCTTCAAGTTCAACTTGAAAGTTCTCAGTGAATTGTGCTGAGCCTAAAAATTCTCCCCAAATTGTGGCATCTGTTCTGTATTTACAAACTGAAATAACTACGGATGTCAAATGAAAGAAGATTCTATTTCCTTTAGAGAAATAAATCTTTTTTTTTCTTTTTTAGAAGTTTACATCAAAAATCTTTTTAGACTCTAAAGTTTTTTATTTTCATGTCATGGAATAGCTAATGTGCAACCGTTGCAATTTCTTCCACCCAGTGCCCTGCCAGACGGTTTTAGATTACTTGAAGACGGTTCTGCAGCACCACAACCAACTCCTGATACCACAGCCAGCTGACCAGCCGACTGAGGTAGGCCTCTAGTAAAAGATTAATGTTGTTCTCCTTAGATTTCTTTACGAGGAAGCCACTTGATCACTTTTGTACCAGAACAAATTGGCTACCAGAATATATTTTTGAAGGTCTGAGATTTTTGACTCCTACTACCTGTATGTACATGATTTGGCAGAAAGATCGTGCATGTGTTTAACTCACAGAGATCCAACTCTATTCTGGGGGACAAAAGAAAAAGAAAATGGCAATTTAAATAGTGTGGGCAATTTTTCCAACCATTTTTTGGCACAGAAAGGCCTAAAATGGGAGAGAACAACCTGTCCCCCTATGTAGGAGAACTGATGTGTTTTGATGGTAATGGATGACACTTTAAACATGGTGCATTTTTACAAGATGTTCAAAGCTCAAAGCTCAGTTTCTAATACATGGGATAGTCATTTTCATGTTACAGACTTGGGAACCGATGGTCCATTCCCATGAGTGGAGACCCTCTCCTGTCTTCCCACCCTGACAACTAGCCTTCCTGGGAGTCCCCTTCCTTCCTCAGGCACCGCCCTTCCTTCTCCTCAGGTCACGGCCTGCTCCCAAGTCCTCTGCCAGCACTTTTTATTCCATACCAGGATGCACCTTGCTCCTCAGGGATGGGCCCAGGTCCCATTCCCAGTAGCCATACCAAGGCCTGTTGTAGTTAAGCCACTCAGTTCATACTCGCTGAATGGTGAACTCATGTTTTTTTTTTTTCTTTTGAGACAGAGCTTCAAGCTGTCCCCCCCTGGGTCAGAGAGAGTGCTGTGGCATCACAGCTCACGGCAACCTCCAACTTCTGGGCTCAAGCGAGTCCCCTGCCTCAGCCTCCCAAGTAGCTGGGACCACAACTACTAAAAGCCCAGCTATTTTTTGGTAGCAGCTGTCATTGTTGTTTGGCGGCCAGGGCTGGATTCAAATTCGCCACCTTAGGTGTATGTGGCTGGCCCAGCCTTAGGCACTTGAGCCACAGGCGCCAAGCCGTGACCTCATGTTTTAATGTTTTGGGTTTTGTTTTGTTTTTTTGGGGAGAGACAGTCTCATTATGTCGCCCTGGGTAGAGTGTGGTGGTGTCACAGTTCACAGCAACCTGTGGGCTTAAGTGATTCCCTTGCCTCAGCCTCCTGAGTAGCTGGAAGTACAGGTGCTCATCATAGTGCCTGGCTATTATTATTATTATTATTATTCACAGTTTTTGACCAGGGCCAGGTTTGAACCCGCCACCTCCGGCATATGGAGCCTGTGCCCTACTCCTTTGAGCCACAGGCACCACTCTCCGGCTATTTAAGTAGGCCCAGGCTGGTTTCCAACTTGCTAACCTTGGTCTGTGTGGCTGGTGCCTTAACCACTGAGCTATGGGCACCACCCATGTTTTAATGATTAAACACTTGCTGTCCCACCCTGTAATCTGGCTTCACTTCCACCATTCACCAAGATGTTTGCAGGAGGCCCCTGGTGACTTTGCCACCCTGGTTTGCGCCAGGCCCTCACCCATCCTTCCCGTTCTCTTGCCTTGGACGTTAGTGTCAGCACTGTCTTCTGTTTCCATGTTCTCCTTAAGCTTTCACGAGTTTCCCATCAGTGTTCTCAGAGTTTCTTTCTTCATCATCATCTTTCTATCTCTGCTATCTTTCTCTGGCCAATTATGTTCCTTCTCATAAAATGCTGCACAAGTCCCAGGAGCGTATATAGAGCTCCAGTCCCTATGGCTCAACTGCAGGCCCCTGTGTCCGCTACCTGGCCGAGAGTGGGTTGTCCACTTACCCTCAGTCTGATCACACCTGCTCTGAATACCCAACCCCACTCCTGTTTTCTCACAAATAAAGGTCCCACCATCCTCAGGTAGAAGTTTCCAACACATCACTGACTGTGTGTCTGATAACCGCAGCCGCCTTGAGTGGTCTCTGTTCTCCCTGGTTTGCTCTCATCACTTTTTACCTGAATTGTTGCAGCTGATTCTTTTTTTCTCCATTCTCTGCACTAGAAAGTTTCTTTTCTGAATTACAGATGCAAACTAAATGTCATATGCTTGAAAACCTTTGCTTCCTAGAATTAAGCCCTCGCCTGATTATTTCTGTCAGACAAAAATACAGCTGAAAAAAAAAATACAGCTGAAAAGTTGGCTTCCTCCAGGAAGCACCCCTGGATTGCCACTCTCTGCTTGGTTGTTCATGGGTTTGGCTGACCCCCGGCAACCTTATTCAACAGGAAAGGGACATCTGTGCCTTCCCTTGGATTATAAGTCTGTGAGGACATTAAGTGTGGGCTATTGGCGGCGCCCGTCACTCAGTGAGTAGGGCGCCCACCCCATATATCAAGGGTGGCTGGTTCAAACCTGGCCTTGGACAAACTGCAAAACAAAAAAATAGCTGGACATTGTGGCAGGCGCCTGTAGTCCCAGCTCCTTGGGAGGCTGAGGCAAGAGAATCGCCTAAGCCCAGGAATTGGAGGTTGCTGTGAGCTGTGATGCCATGGGCACTCTACTGAGGGTGATAAAGTGAAACTCTGTCTCAAAAATTAAAATTAAGTAAAATAAATGTGGGCTATTCATCCTTCTTTCTTTTAAGTGACTCAACCATCGTTCTGAGTTTAATAACCTGTGAGTGGCTATTTACAGAGACTGTGCAATCAGAATCCCACAAAAATAAGGGAAATATCTCCATTTCCTCTGGATAGGAGACTGTTTAAATCTTTATTGCCCACCATCATTATTACTATACTATTTTTATTGTCATTTCGGGCATGTGAGCGTTTTCTCACTTTTATTATTTGTCGTATTTCTAATTAACTGTGCTAAAACAGGATTAGAAATCTTATCCATAGCCCAGAGAGCATTTGGGGTTGTATTTTAGGCTATAAATTACTTTTTTCCTCCTTTTTTCTTTTTCTTGATGAAAATTACGTTCAAATGGTATTTCTACATTTTATAAAACCAACATTTTATGTAGAGCTTCCACATTGAGTGGAATTTTTCAAGGGTTTTGAAGAAGCTCCTTTCTTGACTTGCCAGCTTTCTACTCAAGTACCCACCTAGGCCAGCTTTAGGGACATAATACAGTGTCACATGTAGGGTGAATCCTGAACTGAGACTAGGTTCCCAGTTCTGCTCCTTTTAAGTTGTAAGACCATGG